GGGACCGCGGAGGAAGCGCCCGGAAAGTTTCGCTTCTCCACTCCCAGTCCGCCAGAAGCCCGCGGACCACCAACCCCAGCTTCACCTACCCGGCCGAGCACGGGCAACGGCAGTAGCGCGAAGGTCCGACTCCTCGTCGCAGACGCCGGGCGCGGACTCTGCCAGTTCCCAAGCCCGACCTCTCTGGGTGTGTGCGGCCTGCGGACCCGCGCAGCCAGCGCGTTCCGGACGCGGCGGGCAGCCGGCCGGCGCGGCGGCTCGCAGGTGACTCCCCCGCCCCTCCAGTCGAACCCGACTACCGCCGCCTGGGCCGGCCTCTCCCATGCGCGGGCACGGCGCGCCCCCGCCCACACGCCAAGGGCGAACGCGCGGGCACGAGCACACCCAACCCGCACGTTCCCCGCCCTTTCTTCCCGGTTCCCTTGCCCCGCCTCTCCCGGCTGCGCGACGCGCTCGAGAGGCGGGGCTATTGGCGGAGGCCACGCCCGCCCAGTGAGCTCGGGGATGCAAACGGAGGGTAGGTGGGTTCCTTGGCTTTATCGCGGTGAGGCGTGAGGAGGAGAGGTTTGGGGCTGTGAGGCGCCTTACCTGACTTTCCTGGCTTGACTATTCAACTGTCTACGAAATTCTCACGGAGATTAGAAGAATGGAAGGAAACCCCCGGCTCCGCTACCACCCCTTTACACGCTTCCCCAGGGAATTGAAGAATGAGAAAAAGAGGCTTTGGATTTAGACGCCAAAGCCTTCACTAACAGTTGTTTGCCGGTCTCAGTTAGCTCGAGGAAGCTTCCCGTCAAACGGTCCATTTGCTTGCTCTAAGGACCCTACTTCCTGAAACGAGGGAAAGCTACCACACATACCCCACAAGCTTCGCATAGCCCATTCTTTTTAGTGCATGCATTAGGACTCCCGGTCTTTCCAAAACTTCTCTGACTCCGCGAAAATACAGCTACCTGCTTCACATACCTAGAAACTGCAATGATAAGATAGTATATAGGGTTAAACGTGCCCTGATTCATTTACTCCACAGCACCTGTTTGCTAAGCGTCTGATGGGTTTCTAGAGAGGCATCAAAGATAGCTAGGATGGACAACGAATGGGGGCAGGGTGGGGGAGATCGGCGTATTCTTTAAACAAAAAGTGTGAGTGTGTTGATGAAGTTTGGGTCTGGAACATTTTATATTTCCTATTGATTTATTATGAAAGGTTTTTGTGTTTTTTTTTTTTTGTTTGTTTGTTTTTTTACTTTTGATTGCTCTAATTTACGCCACCACCAACCAAGCTTCACATAGAAGAGCACTGAGGAGAAAATGAACAGGCTTGGATTCTGCAGTTTTGCCACCCGTTCTTCAGTCTGGAATTCTCCAGGCTTTCTAGTTCCCATCCTTCCCTATTTTAATGTCTGAAATAGTTTTTTTTTTTTTAAATAATAGGACGAAAAGAGCAAAGATGAAGCTTGCAATAGGGAAAGTTATAGGGTCACGAGCACGCAATCTTTTCATGTGTTGGCTCTAGTTGTCCCTACAGACAGGATCACAAGTGGCCAGGACTCCTGGCTTACCCACTACCCTATCCCATCTTCACTGGGCCTCATCCTCCTCTAAGCGCACAGCAATATCTATCAGTGGAGGTAGGGCTGGACTAAATAATCTCTAAAATCCCTTTTAATTTTGAAATTAAGAATTGCTGTGTCTGAATGGTTGTCCAAGATCTAGTCATTAATCACCATTTTTGGTCACTCACCTCTATTAGTAAAAATGTTGCCCTCCCCCCAATATACTTATCTAGCTTACAGCAAAATACATAAATACAAAGCAGGATGATTACTCAAAATCTTGCTCTGCCACCAACTACCTATATCCTTGGGCATATCCAACTATTTCCTTAGATTCTTTATTTGCAAAATGAAACTACCCACAAAGTTATTATGAAGATTAAATGAATTAATATTTGTAAAGCATATTCCTGGAACATAGTAATTGCTAAATGAGTGTGAAATAAAAGAAGTTCTTAAACATACATATAGTGTATATGTACCTACACACCTATTACAATTTACCTAATTGTTGGGTATCTCATTTTTAAAAAATCAGAAATAATGATTTAAACATAGTTTTTTTTTCTTTCTGCATTCTTCATATTCTATCTTCTCCATGAAATGTGTGCTATTTAGAGTTGTGTTGACAAATGTGATAATCACTAATAATGTGTCTTAATAAAATTTAGTTAAATTAAAAATTCAGTCCCTCAGTCACACTGACCAAGTGACAGAGAGTTATAAAATATTCACATCATGGAAAGTTTATTTGTTGGCACAGACCAAGCTGAACAAAGGCACTTAAAGGACTGAAAGGCAGTTGGATCAACTCCTGGCCCAGACCCGTAATTGTTGTACCCTGTTCAAATCAAGTGATCTCTATGTGATCCTCACAGCATATCCATAATATGGATATAAAAATAGGAACTACAGAGCTGGAGATGGAGCCCAGTGTCAGAGCACTTGATTAGCATGCACAAAGTCCTAGGTTTAATCCCCAATGCCACAAAAATATAGGAACTACTGCTGGGCAAGGCATTATTGCACACCTGTAATCTCAGTGGCTGGGGAGACTGAGGCAGGAGAATCATGAGTTCAAAGCCAGCCTCAGCAAAAGCAATGCTCTAAGCAACTCAGTGAGACCCTGTCTCTAAATAAAATATAAAATAGGGCTGGGGATGTGACTCAGTGGTTGAGTGCCCCTGAGTTCAATCTCTAGTACCCAGCCCCCAAATAGGAACTACTTCATAGACTGCTGAATGAAAGAAATGAGATGAGTAAAGTCTCTGGCAGAGTACCTACCACCCAGAGGAACTTGAAAATATTAGTACAATTTGAGTTTAAATCGACTCAATTCTATAAGCCTGAAAGTCAAAGGAGACCTTGTTATGTCCTTGAATCAAATGAATAAGTTTTTCAAGAGAAGTTTGGTTAACTGTTAGTTGAAAACAGAGCTCTTCAAAAGGAAATGGAAAATATCTGGATTTTAAGTAGTCCTTAATTTCTTCATTCCTTTAACCATCATAGTAAAATGGCACTGCCATCCACAACCTAATGAGTCATAATTCTTTCATCCTCTTTCCCATTTCCTTCATCTTTGCTTCCAAATATCTTTGCTTCATCTGATCTCTCCTCTGGTCTCCTCTTCACAGGGACTTCGTGAGACTGGGTATCTCCAATGCAGAAACCCTTCAGTGGCTCATCTCTGAAGCTGCCATAGCACAACCCTATGGAGAGTACATTTCACATTGGAGGCACTGTTAACTTTATATTTAGTATAAATATTTTCTGGCAGATTTCAGTAAAATGTCTCGTTCTAACAAAGTGTATTACAACAATTTTCCAGCTGCCCCAGATTTTTCTGATTCTCCCAAATGTGCCATATGGGGTAAGAACATTTCTCTTTCACTTAGAACAAAATGCCAACTTTTCCCAGGTCTTGTAAGGCCTAGCACAATCAGTTCCTGACGTCCTCGCCTTCTTAAAATGACACTCAGCTCCACCAAATTCCAGTCACGTTGACCTTCTTTCATTTCCCAAAATATATCAAGCTCTTTTTTGCTGTGGGACTCACTGCCATGGCCACCTCTCTACCTAAGCAGTCAGAGAGAACTCTGCCCTTCTCTGCCCTTCACATAGGTGCAGCTCTTTGTTATCTTGCAGGCCTCAGAGAGGCCTTCCCTACCACTGTTTCTGAGAGGATGCCCCTGTTATCCTCAGCGACAGGACTCTATTTTCCTCACAGTACTTTCAGGTCTCCCTGGAGACTAGAAGCTCTATGAGGGCCTCACTACAAGCTTGTCAGCAGCCTATGTGGCATTACTGCCACCTATTTCTACGTTCTCCTCTGCACCACAGGGAGAAGGCCTAGCACTCTAATTTTTCAGAGTGCTTTTACTGAATGATTCCATGTTCAATTCTGCCAGTAGACACGTATGTGAGATTAAAGAGCAGAAGAAAAGGAGAAACTAGTATTCTCCAGCTGTTATGATCTGAATCCGTGTCCCTCCAAAATTCATGTGTTGAAATTTAATCCCCAAAGTGTTGATATCAAGAGGTGGGAGCCTGGGAGTGGGAGAGTGCTCATCCGGCATGCATGAGGTTCAATCCCTTGAGGGGGGGGGGGGAGTGGAGCCCTTGAAAGGTAACTAGATAATGAGGAGTTTCAAGAATGGGATTAGTGCCCTTTAAAAGCAGTCTCGGGGGAGGGGGGGCTGGGAATGTGGCTAAAGCGGTAGCGCACTTGCCTGGCATGCATGCGGCCCAGGTTCAATCCTCTACCACATACCAACAAAGATGTTGTGTCTGCCAAGAACTAAAATAAATAAATAATCTCTCTCCCCCCCTCTCCTCTCTCTTTAAAAAAAAAAAAAAAGCAGTCTCAGGGAGCATTTTTTTGTTCCTTCTGCCAAGTTGAGGACATACAGAAAGTACCTAAGATGAATGGGCCCTCACCAGATCCAAATCTGCTAGTGCCCTAATTTTGAATTCTCAGTCTCCTGAACTGTAAGCAACACATTTCTATCATTCATCAATTGCCAGTCTTAGATATTTTGTTATAGCAGCCTAAATGGACTGACACCAGTATAATTTTGAACAGATCATAGGGAATAATGCATTTCTCTAGATTTCTAGGACAATCTCAGACAAACACACACATACACACACACACACACAAAATGAATATTTTTTTAAAGGAAGGGGGCTGTATTCTAAAAAAAAAAATTTTTAAAAAGCATGGAACTGTTCTAGATTAAAAGAGGAGAAAGAATATGATAACTAAACACAATACCTAACCCTACACTGGATCCTGCAATAGAAGAGAAAAATACTATAAAGGACATTATCAGCTCAATTGACAAACTGGAAGGTGAGTGGAAAATTTTATAAAAGTGTTACATCAAAGTTAAATTTTCTGTCCTAATTATATAAGAAAATATTTCTATTCTTGGGCTATGTACATTTAGGAGTAAAGAGTCATGATGTACATAATTTGCCTTCAAACAATTCAGAAAAAAAACACATATAATGTAATTTAAATAGTATACTAAAGAACATATAAAATATAAATCAAATAAAGCAAACTATTAGTGAGTGAACCTGAATAAAACATAAATGAATGACTTTTATACTATTTCTATTCTTGCAATCTATCTGTAAGTTTAGAATTATTTCTTCAAAAAACAAGTAAAGGGACCAGGGGTATAACTCAATGGTAGAGCATGTGTTTAGCAAGTGCCAGAAGCTGGATTCAAACTCCAGCATCAAAAGAACAAAAACAAAAATGGACAAATGTAATACAAATTAGGATAGTTATCATAAATATCTGATCTCAAATAGGACCAGACTGACAGCTACGTGATTTAAAGGTGATACTTTTTGTGCTTCTTTCTAATTTCCCAGTGAACAGAAAGTGAATTTACTCTTCTTACAGAAAACAAGATGTTCCCTGGCTATGAAAAATAACTCATCATACTCCCAGCATCTTTCTAAACATTTAAATATGGGACACTTGTGACCTTGACCTACAAACTAGTATGGCACACTCACATTTGCTGCAGATCATCGACTGTACGAAGTGAGAACATATATTCCTTATAAAAACTCATTATGCAAAGAGTATAATCCAAATTATAATCACAAGGGTTGGGGTGTAGCTCAGGGGTAGAGTGTGTACTTAGTACACAAAGGCACTAGGTTCAATCTCCAGCACCCTCCTCCAAAAATTAACAATTATAAATCATTACCATATTACCAGAGCATTGCACTTTTTTTTTTTTGCTATTGTTGTTTTGAAGAAGAAAAGCCCCTGGCATAGAAATATAGTTCTATGCCATCTTATCGGAGATCCTTATAGTCAGCTCTCCAAAAAAGCATTTAGAAAAGTTTCCTAGTTAAATGACATAGAAGGTTCCCTTATAGTTACTGTGAGGCAATAAAAAGATCAGTGTTTGGTTTGTAGTTGTGGCTTAGCGGTGGAGCACTTGCCTAGCACATGTGAGGCCCTGGGTTCAATCCTCAGCACCACATGAAAATAAATAAATGAAATAAAGGTATTGTGTCCAACTACAACTAAAAAATAAACATTAAAAAAGGAAAAGATCAGTGTTTGTCAGGTATTAGCAGAAGGGAGGAATGAATAGATGTGACACAGAAGATTTTTTAGGTCTGTGAAAACATGTATGATACTATAATGGTGACTACGTGTCCATTTTAATTTGTACAAATTCATAGATCATACAACATCAAAAGTGAACCTACAGCCATGTGTGGTGATGCAGGCCTATAATCCCAGTGACTTGCGAGGCTGAGGCAAGAGAATCACAAATTCAAAGCCAACCTCAGCAATTTAGGAAGGCCTTAAGCAATTTAATGGAATCTTGTCTCAAAATAAAAATAAAAAGGGCAGGGGATGTGGCTCATTGGTTAAGCACCCCTGCATTCAATCCCTAGTACCATTAAAAAAGTAAACCCACAGCCAGGTGTGGTGGCACACACCTGAAATCTCAGCTACTAGGGAGGCTAAGGCATGAGAATAACAAGTTCAAAGCCAGCCTGGACAACTTACATAGAGCCTGTCTCAACAACAATGAAAAAGAGTGAACTCTTGTGCAAACTTAAGCCTTTGGACAATATTGACATATAGATGTAGATTCATCTATTTCAATAGATACAACCAAGTCTGGTGCAGGTTGTTGATGGTCGGGGAGGTTTTGAGAAGTGAGGCAGGATGTATATGGAGACTCTATACTTTTCATTCAATGTTGCTGTGAATATAAAACTGCCTTAAAAAGTAAAATCTATTCAAAAAGAAAATATTGCATATATCTTAAGGAGAAGTAGGAACTTAAGCTTGGGGAGTTGAGAAACTCTTGGCAGGCATTGAAATGTATTTCTTCAAAGACTTATTGTAAATTGTATTTCTCAGACTACTGCTCTTTTTACCATCTGTCAAACTATCTCACCTTACAGTAAAAAAGACCCGCGACATTCAAATTTGAACAGAGGCACTTATTCATATTTTTTAAATTAAATTTTCTTGGCCAAAATTTGATCTTTACATTCAGAGTTTTAACATATAAACCTAGTATATGTCAAGAGATCTGTGACTTTTTCCCAATGATGGATATAAACTGATGAGGAATTCACCCTACTCCACACTAAGTTTATATATTTCTAACAGAGTATCATTTACTTGTCACATTGACAACTAAGGAACTAGGTTTATGCTTACCTTCATCTTAGCAGAAACGTAAGGTTTAAACACCCTATACTAAAATAAATCTCTTGTAGATTAGTGAATTACATTTAAAAATGTTCCCTTTAGTATAAAGAAGACTTAAAATACAGTGCTCTGTCAATTTTTTATCTTTGGCAGGATTATGAATGATTCCTTTTCTTCTTTCTTTTTGTATTTTATCTATTTGCTTGAATAACTATGTATTATTTTATTTAAAAATAAGCATAATCATGGGTAAGTATAAATCCTATTCAAATACTCATATGAAAAGACACAATGGCTGCTTTCTTCCATGGAAAATTCCTAAATTATTTGCACATTACCTTCTCTGCCAGTAGAGGAAAATTATACAGCAAATGTTTTATTTCTCAACACTAACTCTTATAAATGACAACCTATTAACCTCAACAAAGTTTACTGAATAGCCAGGTGTGGTGGTGTACCCTGTAATCCCAGCTGAGGCAGCAGGATTGCAAATTCAAGGCCAGCCTCAGCACTTAGGGAGGCCCTAAGCAATTTAGCAAGACCCTATCTCAAAATAAAAATAAAGAGGGCTGGAGCTATGGTTCATTGGTAAAGCACTCTGGCTAGGTTCAATCCCTAGTATGTATGTATGTGTGTATATATATATATATATATATATATATATATATATATATATATATATAATAAACTTACTTTATGAAACTAGCTCAAAGTATACAACATGCAAAGTTTGAACACTGTGTTAAATTTCTAAAACTTGGTGCCAGATTAAATAAAATCCAACAGAAACTCTCAATTCAAATGTTGCCAAGAGAATCTATTTTTAAAACAATATATTTTTCTAGAATTCTGACATAAATATTTCACTGATACTCTAAAGAAATTTAAGCATAATTTCATTTTAAAATTCCTTTTCAAATGAAAACATGAACTGTTATACTTTGGAGTCATATAGACCTGATTCTGCAACTTATTAGCTGTATAACCCTTTGTGACAATGTGTAAGTAGCTTAACTGCTCAGCACATAAATTTCTGTATTATAAAGTTTGTAAGATGAGGAAAAGAATCTATACTCCTAGGAGTATAAAGATTAGGGATAGTGTAAATTAAGCACAAA